ACCTGCTAGAAATCAGCTGTATACTTATCAATTAGTTTTAAATAATGAACAGTAACTCATCCAGAGTCTAGCTAGCAAAGCATCTGCCATGGGTGCACTTGTGAACATTTTCCGAGAGTGGGGGAAAGGCATTCATTTACCGGATGTTTCTTATGTGCTGTCAGAATAGGAATATATGTAATTTTAGGTGTTATCTTGAAAAAGAGAAATAGGAAAGATGACTTTAGAGCCATAATTCTAAAGCAGATCAGTTTTTTAAAAGAACAGCTAGTATTTATGTATTATTTATTTTAATTAAAGTTATTGGGTGACATTGGTTAGTAGCATTACATACATTTCAAGTATACAATCCTGTAACACATCATCCGAGTACTGCACTGCATCTCACCACTCAAACATCTGGCCTCCTTCCGTCACCACATATGTGATCTCTTTACCCTCTTCCCCTCCCTTCCCCTCTGGTCACCATCATATTGTTTCTGTGTCTATGAGTTTGTTTGTTTGTTTGTTTGTTCTTTTGTTGCTTTACAACAGATCTATGTTAACTTGTGGAATAACTTCTTTGTTGGAACTATATCTCTACACTCTTTGTAATTTTACCACCAAGAAGTTCTAGGATAATAAACATTCTGGAAACACAAGTGAAGCACCATTTCATAGAGAAACAGATTCAGGCTCAAAAACTAGTCATTTACAAGATCTGGTGGCTGAAAGAATTATATACAACATGTATCATTTTCACAATGTAAACCACAATAAGAAAAGAGCTACAAAATCTTGGCCGATTAGGCTATCTAGAAAGTAGAGCATTCAAATATGGTAGGACAAAGGTAAAAAAAAAAAAAAAGGTTAAGAAACAGAGCCCTAGAGATAAATTGAACAGAGTTAAAATGTATGTAGAAAGGAATTAGAAGATGTCAGAAATTCAAAGTCTGCCTAGGGTCAGCCAAAGACCCTGAAAAGACAAGATAGCACTTTTTTTCTCTTCTGCAACTAAGGGCTGCTCAGTCCTAACACCCAAAGTTGAGAAATACTAATATTTATGAGTTAAATCACAGCACGAGTTAAATAGGCTTTTATGCATTGGTCTTGGAAAACTCCATCCACATAACATACGTTGTTCCTGTGGGAAAATATAGTTTAAGTTCCAAGTAACCAACTTATGGACTCTTGGAATACAACTCTTTGCAGTGGGACTAAGCAGAATGGGTGAGTTGACTTCATGATTAGAATAATCAATGTTTCCACCATGTCTTGCAAAACTGCAGAATTTTATAACAACTGCCTAAGTGAGTTGTGCCAAAGATCAACTCTAAGTGGCAGGCTGAAGTGTAGGTTTTGTGGCTTGTACTAGTTTGGCTACCATCAAGGAACACTGGCAGAGCTAATAAAGAACTAGTATTTTGACTCTGCCATTTGTATCACATACATGACTGCTTTTCCCCCTTGCACTCTGGGCATGATAATGTCTTAGGAAACATTCTGAGGATGTCGAGATGAGAGCTCCTATTCTGGACCCCTGAATTCTCCTCTAGATCATAATGTAGGATCTGTGGCTGTTACACAGTCAGTTAGCCTGGCAACTTCATACATGGGTCCAGGATGGATGCCTTCAGTCTTTTGGTCACTGGAAAAACCTGGCCAAAAAACCTCCACACAGAAACCAAAACCTGAAAGTAGTCTCTCCATGGCTGGACGTTTCTCAACAGAGTGTTTCTGTACTGGCACTGCCACTGCAATATCCAGAGGGGAAAAAATCAACAGGCTAATCAACTATGATTATTTTAGAGGTCTCAAATTATACACAATTCATGGAGAATAGATGTTAGGAATAGGCAGAACTGCTGTGAGCACAGTCAGGACCAAGCAAAGTGTTCAGTGGACGAGCACCAGAAGAATACCCAGTCCCCTGCACTCTCAGGAGAACACGCACTCCGCACAGCCACCCCTCGCCTCCGGTGCACACTTACCCTGGTGCCCAAACATGTCTCCACAAGCTATTCTACCACAGAACACATTTCTCTACGGCGACTGAAGAATATGTAGGTACTCCCAATCAATCCTCACTGACTACAAAATTATAGTATCAATCCTGTTTTCATAGTTAATGATGCAAACCTGCTAGAAACCTGTAACTTCCACTTTTTTTTTTACTGGAAATATATGAAAATAAAAGACCAATGTATGCCTTACTGTGAAAAAATGCCAATTATAAGACAGAATTAGAAGCTTTAAAAAGTCCCCAGAACTTAGACTGCACATGGAGAAGTAGTGAGTCAGGGACTATGCTCCGTAGTTTGAATGACACCATGTATGTAAGTTTCAGAAACCGTGAACCTGACAAGTCGCTCCTCCGTGCTGCAGCAGTGTGTTCTTTATTCAAATTACTATTACTCCCTATCAGACTAGGACTTTCTTATAAACAGATATCGCATATTATCCATTTTTATTTCTCTAACTCTCTAAGAGAGGACCTGACATATGGTAGGTGCTCAACAAATGTTTCTTTAAATAAACTAGAAGTATTAATTCAGCTGAAATGCATAAACTACTACTCCTGATCTTAAAATGCATATATATGTGTGTATACATACACATATAAATAGCATAATCAATAAAATACACTTAAAAAATTAAAATTCTTGCATGTGGGGAAAAAGTCTGTATTTTTCCTGAGGGCACTAGGGGGACAACAAGTAATAACAACGATGATGATTTTTACAGCAGCGGTTACCACTTACTGACTCCTTGGGAATCAATGCAAGTTTTGTGGCCAGAGCTTTACAGGACTCAGAACCACTCTTGTGTGTCCAAGCCAGTGAGGCTCTTAATTCCTACTGTTCGTTCTAAACTCAGAATCTCAGTAAGTACCTCTCTGAACTGCAGAAGCCACCGATTTACCTGCCTCACGGAACAGAGTCACTTCGAGGCCCTGAAGGCAATCCACAACCAGTAAACCAAAATGAAACTCATCGATCATCATCTTAATACATTTCCTTTGTGGTTTAGCATCTCCCAATTAACCACAGGCAGTATTAAACTTAAAAAGAAGAAAACAAAAGTCTAGAATTGCTTGCCTAGCCCTACTATCACTGTTATTTTTACTTTTCATTTTAACCCAAGTACAGGTCCTAAGAAGCAGCAGAAGTGGCCGACCTGAATCATACTTATCTTTTCTACTGGTATAACAAAGAACACGGGTTTGGGAATCAATCCTACAGACCTGTTTTGCCATTTACCACCTGTGTAGCCTGAAACAAGTTAAAATTATTTAACATTACACCATTTACCTTCAAAACAAATACTCCTACTAGAAGCAAGGTGTTTTCTCGTTTGTTTTACTGCAAACCCTCCCTAGTGAAAATGTTGTGGGGGGTGTATTTGCTCTCGTAAGGTGCCTCTGTGAAATGAGTTTCCTGGTCTGACATTCTACAAAATGGAGACCTCCCCCCAGGAGCAAAGGGATGCCTTCAGAACAACCTTCATGGAGTAAGGGAGCTCTCAGGCTTTCAACAATGAAAGGGTAAAAGAAGGGAGAACCACTGAGATCCACCCACAGAAATAAGAGCAGAGGACAAAGTCCAAAGTGGGTTCCATTTAAAATCTCAGCCAGGAGTCAGGCATAATGTGAATGAAAGAAGCCCAACACAAAAGAATCCACACTCTCCGGTTCCACCTCCATGAAACCCAGTAACAGAGAAAAGCTCGATGATGGTGATGGACGTCGGAATAGTGGGCACTTCCAGGTAGAGACGGGAAAGGTGCCGTCTGGGGAGGGGGCCAAGGGAGCCTTCTGGGGTGCTACAAATGTCCTATATGTTGATCTAGGCAGTGGTTTCATGAGTGTACACACAGGTAAAAATTCACTGGGCTGAGCACTTAAGACCTGTGTACTTTACATGTAAGAATACTTCAAAATGAAATAAATTAAGGGGCGTGGGGATCAAGTCAGGACCAGGACCATAAAAATCCTCTAAGATTCTGTAAACCTTAACTTTCCTATGTTTTAAAATTTCTGTTGCCTACGATCTAGTTCTCTATGGTGAGAAGCCATGGATGTGTTACAGAACAGGTTCAGTGTTTGTCTGAAAGTAGCGAGAAAGGCGGAAGCTGGGCAGTCTCTGGTACCTTTTGGGTCTAGGCCTGAGGGGGCCAGCACCAGAGGAGAGTAAGCGGCGGTAGCCACGTGCCTGTCACCAGGACAGAAGAACATGGGGAAACCATTTGGGCCTGACAAGCAACAAAATCCCAGAGGTTCTGCCCTCTTATTGGTGTTATCAATAACTCATGTAATACCATAATATAATCCCTGATGTCTTACAGCAGGAGTGCCAAACTCATTTTCACTGGGGGCCATATCAGTCTCGCAGTTGCCTTCTAAGGGCCAAATGTAATGTTAGGACGGTAAAAATGTAACTACTCCTTAACTAGGGGCGAGGAGCTCGGTGCTGCCACTGGGTAGAAACAGGGTGCCGGGCCGGATAAAACAAGGTGGAGGGCCAGATTCGGCCATGGGCCTTGGGTTTGCCACCCATGTCTTCCAGGTACTTATTAACATGTATCTACTTGGTTAAAAATATACTCATTTCCCCAACAGTTTATTCAGAAATTACTTACTCCCAAAGCATTCTGATTATGAACTCTGACTAGAGGCACGAGAAACACAAATTCTACCAAAACCATCATTAACTCAGGACAATGCCAGGGAAAAACCTGTGCGTTGCATGATACGAAGCTGTACATACTCCATTTTATAGCTTTCATTAGCTCTCAGAATCACGTGCTGTGCTTCTCTGACACATTTATGGAAGATGTTTGTAAGAGTCACAAAGAAGGGGGTATGTGAAACCAATGAACAAACAAACCTAGGTTAACCAATCCTTTATAATCCCACCATTCAACGAAAGAAAAAATATGATGTAATGGTCTAAGACAAAGATAGTGTAATGAGCAAATCCCTGTAACAAACACTCTATCTAGGTGGATGATTTGCCTCTTACCTTTATCACGATCATAGAGTAAATCTTCTGTGGAGCAAGGGCTACCGTCCTGGGATTCCGGGGGACAAAAAGGGGAGACACAGGGTGAGTGGCTGCTGCAGCTACTGCTGCGCTCCTGGACCGAGGGGGTCTGGGTGTCAATGCTGCGTGTGCTGCTGCTCCGGTAGTGAGCAGGGAGTGGAGCCCTTCGGCCGTCCGGAATATCCAAAGGCTGTAAGGGGGACAACCATTAAGCATGTGAATGACAGCGCATACTCTCGATTCACACAGAAAACACAAAGCGTTTCCTTTGATGTCAGTCCACTGCTATTGTCAGCATAACTGATTCTCCCAAGAATAAAGATACCAATCTTGTGTCTTAACTTCTGCAAGTTACCTTTATCGAATGAAAAATTTCTTTCAAATCCCAAAGCAGTTAGGTTTCAAACTACTATGGAAAAATTGTCTTTAAAAACTCCGTAGCTCTCTGTATGTATTGTACGTTAGCACTTCCCATAATATTCCTCAAGGGCAGAGGCTTCTTTTACTACTGTATCCCTAATGCCAAGTACCGGGTCTGGCACATCGCTGACAGTCAATACATATATGCTGAAAGAATTCACCAAACTGCTTAAGAAAACACTTTCACTTGCCAGTAAGAAAGGAAAATCTAGTATTTACAGGTATATCTTTCTGTTTGTTCGTTCATTCTTATTTTAATTTTGGAGGCCAGGAACAAAATCTTGCTTTCTATTTCTTTTGCAAATTAGCCAAAATTTCTAATAGAGGTTTTTTTCTGTTAGTACTCAATGAAGAATATTAATGTGACTCAGAACAATTCTACTAATTTGGTATCCAGCTGAGAAGGACTACTCATAATTTTCCTTAATTCCAATGCATTGTTCTGAGTGGCAAAAATTAAAAATGGAAATGAAACTATAATCACAGAATCATGTATTTTGGACCCGGTAAGACCTTAAAGTTCATTAGTCTAATGTCTTCACAAATAAAGAACTTAGAGTTTCAAGCTCCTGGTGACATGGCTAATTAACTGGCATCAGAGCCTCTGCCCCAGTGACCTTCCCACTCTGCTTCTGTCAAGATAGACCTCGCTCCATTTTCCTCATCTGTGTGCTGAAAAAGGTTAACAAATAAAATTCTAGATAATAATCATTTAAGATGTTTTTTGTTACTAGATAGACAAGATTGTAATGCTCGGAAAAAGCACCAATATACTCCATTTATTTATAAATTATTTTCACTATTTACTGTTCTTACTCTGAACTTTGTCATTTTAGAATTTTTAGAAATGCTGTCAGAGAGAAAATGTGTAACAATAAAATTAGGCAAGAATCAGGCAAGAATCAAAACATATCTGTTTTTCTAGAACAAACTGCTAAACCAAAGCTACACCATCTTCACAAGGACTACTCTACTGTGAAGAGATTCCGTAAATGGCAGGCTCAGTTCCTGGTCAGGGTTCATGTCCAGGTTGTGAGTTTCATCCCTGGTCGGGTACACTAGGCCGGCCTTCAGGGTTCGGGCTGGGGTGCATGCAAGGCGGCAACCAATCAGTGTTTCTCTCTCACATCAATGTTTCTTTCTCTCTCCCCCATCCCACTCTCTTTAAGAGAGATGAAGAAATGTTCTTGGGTGAGAATCAAAAAATAAATAAATAAATAAATGAGATTATGTAAATATGAATTCATTTGTAAGTAAATTAAAAAAGTAAAACTTTCCAATTTGGGAAAAAATATTCCTAAACACTAATTTATTTGGTAAAATGCTAAGAAAATGTTACTTTATTTTTATTACTTATAATTTTTCTTTTATTTAACTAAATTTATACTTTAATTATGACTCTGTCCTAAATGTTAGAATGAACAAAGAATAAATCATTGATGCAGTTTTTTTTGGGGGGGCGGGGGACAAGATGCTTGGTGTAAGATTGTATACTTGAGGGCCCCATGACAGCTATTTCTTAAAACTTAGATATTTGGGTTGATAAAAATGTCAATATTAGTAATCAGGAAAAGACTAGTTTATTGATCTGTAGGTAAAAATTTTTAAGAATCAGAGTTATCTTTTAGATTAGAGTTCATGTCCTATTTAGTAAGCACAGTTTTTCCATATTCATATTTCTCAGGCTGTAACCGATAATATACATCAATTTCCTTAATCAGCTTTTGTTCTGTTGGGGAGGAGGATTAGAAGAATTAGAACAAAGCAGATTTCAGAAACCTGCATATTTATATAAGTAACAATGAGAAATGTGAAGGCTTATTTAGAACATTGATATATTTAACAGTAAAATTTTCTTTTTATAGCTACTGGCATATTCCTTACTGGTGACATTTCAATTTATTAAAACTCTGAGGCACATAATCATAAGTCTGAAAATTTTCAAGTTAATCTTTTAAGTGTGTAGTGAACCCCAGAATAATTTTAACTTGGCTACCATGAAATTCAAGTATGACTTATTTAAAGGCAGAACTACTAGTAAGTTTTATATTCTACAATAGTTTTGCTCTGAAGTTCTTAAGGAGTCAGCAAATATGTGACTGATTTTCTCATCCTCAAAAAATTCAACCAATTTCACTGTCTTACATTACTGTTCTGAAATATTACTTAATGTAAATAAAAAAACATTTTAATGGTTAACAGCTAAGCTCTTAAAAGTTGATTGCTTTGGCAATAAAAAGGGATAAAGTACTTAATACATATTAAAATATAGGTGAAACTTGAAAACATCATGCTAAGTGAAAAAAACCGGTTATGAAAAGGCCGTATAGAACACAATTTTATTGATATGAGATGTTTAGAACAGGCAGATCCACAGACAGAGAAGGCAGATCTGTGGCTGCCTAGGGTGGGCCACCAGAGGGACGTGAAGGGTGACAGCTAACGGTACGGAGTTTCTTTCTGGGGCCATGAAAACACTGCAAAGCAGTTTTGCTGATAGCTGCACAACTCTGTGAATATGGTAAAAACCACTGAATTGTACACATTAAATGAGTGAATTCTATGGTATATGAATTACATCTAATACAGCTATCACCAAGAAAGGACTTTTGAGACAGTTTAACAATATTAAAGAAAAAAAGGGATTCAAACATTCCATGTAACCTTACCTTGGATACTTCCTCCTTCCCATTATTTTCCTTAATGAATACCTTTTCTAACTCAGGACTTATTCCTTCTACATTGCAGGGCACACGGGAAACCGACGATTTTGGCACGGATATATTTGACAGTGGCATAGGGACTGATCTTGATCCAGTAGCCTACAAACAGAAGATAAAGTGGTACCACATTATTTGTTGTCCATCAAAACTAGAGGATAGTAAATCTGAAAATAGGAATTCAATGAGCACAGTTATTCTGACCTTTCAAATACAATATAAATTCAGATAAACATACAGAAATTTAGAAAATGAAATAAAGGTAAAAATCACAGAGCCCAACTAATCCTTTATGCAAATGTACAGGTATAATTGCATGATGTGTATACTGTTAGGCAGAATGGCAGACAGAGTCTTCTGCACTGTTTAATTTGTTTCAGGTTGTTTTTACTGGAAAAGCACAGTCGAAATCATTAGGTTAATTGTGTCATGTGACTCTACTCAACAGCTCTGTGTGTGTGTCCTGCACTGAAACAAAGACCTGCGAGTATTTTTCATTTCCATTTGCCATCATTTGAGAAAACCTTTGGATTACTAAGTCATGTGGCAACACCACCACATTAAGTTCAACAACACTTAACTCTTAGTCTGTTTACCACCGTGTTAAGTTCAACAACACTCACTTAAGTCTTAGGCTGTTTTCAAAAATTCTATGCGAGGTGATGAATTCCCCAAAATTCATCACCTCTCATAGTTGTTGTGAGGATGCCAAAAAACAAGCCTTTTGATAATCAAGAAACTTATACAATGGAAAGGAAAGAAAAATAGAGATGAACAGGTAAAAATAAAAATACCAAATGATCTCTGCCTCATTCTGGTGATTAACGGTGATATATATGCTTCATAACGGGGCAGACTGCTCATCACTGATTGGCGCTCGAACATTTCCCACACTCAGTGCTGTGCTCCTGCCATCTGTATACATTGCTGCCCTTTGTGTCTTTATTGATGCACGAGGTTTTCTCATATTAAAGTGGTAGCTGTGTCATCCATCTGCTGCTTACTTTAGTGTCACATATATTTCTTTTAGAACTTTGCTGTTTTTTCCCATTTACATACCCTATTATGATTTCTTTTTGTGTATGATGTGAAGTAATATTACTTTTCCCACATAGTAATCAAATTGCCCCAACACTCCTTTATGGAGTCTATTTTTATTTCCTTGAGCGGTTAGCTGATAAAGAGCTCCACTTTGTTGGAGCTCTTTGTTATAAATTTGTTGTATTTTTGTTTGGTTCTTTGTTGGAGTAATTGTTGTAAATTTTATAGTACATTTTGGTATCTTGCAGGGAAAGCCTTTTCTATTAATTACCATTACTTTTCCACATGATCCTTGAAAACAACTTTTCAAGTAATAAAACAATTCCTTTTAAATTTTCATTGGAACTCAGTTTGTACATTAATTTTGGGGAAATTATTATTTAAAAATATTAAGTTTTCTCATGCACAATGTATTAAGACTTCCCATTTATATCTCTATTTTACATTTCATAACCTCAATAGAGTCTTTCGATTTTCATATTTCTTTTAGGTTTAATTCTAGGCATTTTATGTATTTCATTATTTACACTAACATGTTATTGCCAGTTGTGACATAGTAAGAAATATATATTTGGTTTCTGGCCCTGGTTCCTGACCCAAGTTCCTAAAATTCTTATAATTTCCTGAGTGACAGGGGTGCTGGGAGCATCTTTTGTTCCTATACTTGCTTTTCGGCCCCCGACTCTGACACAGAGCTCCTAAATCCCTTGAAATTTCCTGGGTGATAGGAGCAAGACTCCTTTGTTCTAATGAGGCAACCCTTGGTGGGCTGCTGAATACCTTCGGACTGGGGGCTAAGCACCAGAAACACCAAGCCATGATTGGAAAGAAGCTTGGATCTCTGGGCCTCACCCCCAATCCTCCGGGAAGGAGAGAGGGTCTGCAAGTTGAGTTAATAGTGGATCATGTGCACGTGACAAAACCTCCATAAAAATTCCTCAACTACGGGTTCAGAGACCTTCCGGGTTGGTGAACACAAATCCATGTCCATGTGCCAAAAGGGTGGCACACCCCAACTCCATGGGGACCTAAGTTCCTGCACTCGGTACCCTTCCGGACCTTGCCCTATGTCCTTCTTCATCTAGTTGTTCATCTGTATCCTTTATTATACCATGGGAAAAAAAGCAATAAATGTGTTTCCTTGAGTCTGTGAGCCATTACAGCAAATTACTGAACTGAAGAAGGGGCTGCGGGAATCCCTTTTTTATAGCCATCTGGTCAGAAGTACAATGACAACCTGGGACTTGTAACTGGGACCAGCAGTTGGGGGCAGTCTGTGGGGCTGAGGACTCGACCTGCGAGGTCTGTGCTCACTCCAGGCAGTTAGTGCCACAATTTGACTGTGGAACATTCTGTTTGTGTTGGAGAGTTGGGGCACAGGCTGTTGTGAAGAAATCCACCCCGGGATCTGGGGTCAGAGGGTACGGGAGTATACGTTTACTAGTATATGAGGAAACTACTGAATTCTGTATGTTTGTATTTTACCTAATCATTGTAGTAAGCTCTCAGTGTTTTCTTTTTATTATGAAAAACTATAATCGTAAACATAATTAAACAGGATAGCATAATGAATCCTCAGGTGCACATCATCCAGCCTCAAAAATTATCAACATTTGCCAATCAATCTTATTTTATCTAGACATCTATTTTTTCCCATTCTTGGAGTATTTTAAAGAACATTCTAGACTTCACATTTCACCTACAAACAGTTCAGTATGTAGAGCAAAAGATAATCATTTTTGTATATAATCACAATGCCAAAAAGTTCTACATAAATTGGGAACAAGCATATAAGTCTTTCATGTTAAGTCAACAACAGACCTACTATAAATGCGTTGGGGTCTTAGAGAAAAGATGCTTGAAATAAAGTAAGAAAAATATATTAGTTCTATCAGGTTAAAAAGAAAAAGGAAGGCATATGTGGAATTTCACTTGAAATGTCTGAGGCTTGCTTGCCAACTGCATGTCTGTTTCACAGCTCTGATGAAGTATAAATGGCATACAATAAAACCTTCCCATTTTAAGTATGCAGTTCATTAAGCTTTGCAAATATACACAGTCGTCCAATTATGAGTATAATCACATTTTAGAACCCTCCATCATTCTGAAAAATTCCCTATCGTATCTGTAGTCAGTTCCTATCCCTAATACTTTGTCTCTATAATTTTGCCTTTTTGAGAATTTAATATAACAAATCATATAGTATTCAGTCTTTTGCTCCTCACTTCTCTCACTTAGCATGTTTCTGAGATTCAACCGTGTAAGCATCAGTAGATCCTTACTGCTAAACAGTATTACATTGTATAGATGGGGGAAATGTCGTTTATTCACTAAACGACATTGATGGATATTTGTTTCTGCTTTTTGACTCGTGAATAATGCCTCCATGAACATGGATGTACACGTCTTTGTGTAGACATGTGTGTTCACTTCTCATAGACAGACACCCAAGAGTGGAACTGATGGGCTGTATGGTCAGTGCATGTTAACTTCTGAAGAAAACACCAATCTGTTTTCCAAAGGGGCAGTGCCATTCTGTGTTTCTCACCAGCAAAGCGTGGCCACTCTAGTTGTTCCACATCCTCATCAACACTTGGTATTATCAGTATCTTTCATTGTAGCTATTCTTAGTTTTAACAGTTCAGCACACACACTTTGATTGTCTAAGTATACAACAATCTCACATCCTGACAGTGATAATTATTTCTTTTTCTCACTGCTGTCTATTTCACTAGCAAATAACAGACATCTCTGACTTGATTTTTACTGTAAGAGCAATGTTTCCAATATTTTATTGGTAGGGTCTCACTACATGTGCCACATTAGGATGTATCCTATTTTTAAATTTTTTATCCTCACCTGAGGATATTTTTTCACTGCTTTTAGAGAGAGAGAAAGGGAGGGAGGGAGGGAGAGAAACATTGATGTGAGAGAGAAACATCAATCTGTTGCCTCCCGTGCACGTCCTGACAGAGATCGAACACGCAACAATTTTTTTTGGTACACAGGACAATGCTCCAGACAACTGACCCAGCAGGCCAGGGTACCACTGAGTTTCTATCAAGAGTTTTTTAGCATCTATTCTGACCATCTGATGCAATGAATTAACCTAATACATTTCCTAGTATTGACTCATTCTTAATTTTGTGAAACAACCCCTAGTTGGACTTGTTTTCATGTATTACTTGGGTTTCTCCTGCCTACTACTGTATTTTATTTACTAAAATTGACATAAGTATTTGTAAGTAAATTTGGTCTAGATCAGCCTTTCCCAAATTTTGTTCTATGGGATATGTTAGTATATGTTCCTAGAGGGAAAGCACAACAGAACTATAATCCTCAATTTCTTCATATGCAAAACAGGGGTAAACTATATAAAGAGATATAGAGATGGATGGGTTAAGGTACTATTAGGAAGATGAAATGAGATAATTCCCATAGTTGCATCATAAATGAATGAGTTAGGATGTCAGCCCAGGCCAGTATTAATCATCCTCGAGACCACTATACTCCACTATTATCTGTTATTAAAAGAAGACTAGGCATTTGACTTATAAAACACAAAAACCAAAAACTTCTTACACAATTTAAACAGTAGTAACTTAGTAGATTTAGGGATTTACATTATTAATTTTTAAAATCCTAAAATGATAGATTCTGCCCTGGCTGGTGTGGCTCAGTGGATTGAGCTCCAGACTGTGAAGAAAAAGGTTGCCAGTTCGACTCCCAGTCAGGGCACGTGCCTGGGTTGCGGGCCAGGTCCCCAGTAGGAAGTATGTAAGAGACAACTACACATTCACGTTTCTCTCCCTTTCTCCCTCCCTTCCCTTTTCTCTAAAAAAAAATAATATCTTTTTAAAAATTCCATTAAGAAATGATAAGCTTCTCCCTTTATAATGAACCCTTTAAAAGAAAGTACTCAAATTAAGACAAGAAGTTAGCCTACCTGAGTGTGATTGATGGCTATATGGTTGCCATGGAGCGGTGATTGCCGATCTTTCTCCTTACTGTGCCGACTGCTCTGTTTACTGCGTTGTAGCTGCTGCCTCAGTTTGGCAATCTGCTTCGGAGAGAGGGAAGGAGAAGGAAGAAGAGAACAAAAGTGATTACCAATTTTTAAGTACTTATTTAATTTTGGGATATTAATAGATACATTTTTCTCAAAGGTTTCAAAGAGAATATTTCACTATAATGATATATTTTCTCCCAAGTATTTATGATTAAGACTGTTGAAAATAAGAAATAAATAAATGCTACAAACGCTTCACTTGTACAATTTACATAATGTTGTTGGTAAATACATAGACTAAATTTCCCCAAATTATTTCAGATTTTGCCTTGAAATATCTTCAAGGCAAAGAAGAAATATCTTGCCAGAAATATCTTTCTCTTTAAACACTTTTTTTAAGGTGAAAAACTTAGTCTTTTGCCTATTGATTAAAATCAAACCCAATCTCTTAAATATGGACATTAGTTTCTAAACTCTGGTCTTATATAAACAAATATGACCTGCTCTATCAATTTTTAAATGCTTTAAAATTATAAATTCTATAGTGGTGAGAAAAGTCAAAGCACAGAGTATTAGCAACTTATTAGTACTTAATATTTTACTATACATTACTCTTTAGTTACACTACTGTTACTCTCTTTTCCAGCTTTACTGATCTAAACTGACACAAACATTCTGTAAGACTAAGGTGTGCAACATGTCGAGTCACTACATTTACATTTGCAAAATGATACCATTACAGCATTAGCTAACACCTCCATCCCTCACATAATTATTGTTTTTTTTTGTAGTAAGAACATCTGAGATTTACTTTATAGCAACTTTCAAGTATGTAATACAGTATCATTAACTATAATGAAAATGCTGTACATTAGATTCCCAGAACTTATTCATCTTGTGTCCAACTCCCAGCTCTGGTAATCACCACTCCAGTCTCTGTTTCTATGAGTTCTGGCTCTTTTAGGCCTCACACATAATGGATATCATACAGTATTTGTCTTTCTCCATCAGACTTATTTCACTTAGCATAATACCCTCAAGGTTCACCCAGATTGTTGCAAAAGGCAGGATTTCCTTCTTTCTCATGGCTGAATAATAAATATTCCATTGTGCATATACCACATCTGCTTTATCCATTCATTCATTGGCAGACACTTGGCTATAATCATACAAATTTTAAAAACAAATATAAGAGTTGATTTTCCTAAATGGAATGGTAACACTCCCAGGCTTAAAAGAAAAGTCATTTACTACAATATCACTTGGAATTCATTAAATTACTAATATATTTTAGGTAAAGTATAATCTGCTTAAAATGGGCTAGACCAGAAATAAAATATTCCTGAGCACTTTAAAGGGTATCATTAGCAATTTGAGGGAAGTTATTTAATATTGGTATTACTTGTAGAAAAGATTACATTAATTAACAGTTATTCTTTGACAAAACATTTTTATGTTACCTACTAGGCAAAGTGTACATACAAAGTCTGTGAAATATACTGATTTTCTCAGACATAAGGCAAAAATATAATGTATTTTACTATTAGCAAAATACTTACCTTGAATAACCATGGCAATAAAAAGCAAATTAGACAGTGGTTATTAAAACTCAAGGGAAAAAGGATACAGGTTGCCAGGAAAACTTATTTTTATCTGTGGCAAATAGAAGAGAAATAGCATGGAAGGATATAAAGCACCTAAACCAAGGAATAATTTATATCCTTTTTAATACTGAGATGTTTATGTTTTAGTTTTTTAAAGCTCTTTGTAGCTTATGGACCTCTCATAAACATCCTTGCAAAGATATACCAGTAAGATTATCTGTGTTATTATTTGTGTTCCTTGTGCTGTTGTAATGACATAACTTTCTTCATTAGTTTCATGAGAAAAGGTATCAAAATAATAGGTAATTATAAATCAAGACAGACTATTCCTATAATAAAAAATGAAACTTTAAATTGTACAAGTCATTTAATTAGGATAGAAATATAAAATTAAGTGTTTTCTGAGTATTAATGATGTTTAGTGGTATTTTGAAACCTGCAAGAGCTTGTACATGTATAGAAGAGTCCATAATGCTTAGAGATTAATCAGGCACTTTGTATTTTTTCATTTAAAAAATATCTTTAAGAATAAGCTTAAAACATCAAAGTAAGCCACAAAACTTTTTGTTCTAAAAAGCTTTAATAAACTCCTGAAAACAAAATGTACATATACATCATGATACACCTTACTTTTGCAGGAATGCCAAATTAAAGCATGCAACCTTATAGCTTTCACACAATACTGTTCATCTTTGGAATATAACATGGTTATACTCTTGTAATCTTTACAATGCAGTAGGGTAAAAGTTCATCCTCATATATATATATTATATATATAATATATATACACACACACACTCAGAATGCAAATTTTTTTGTCAAGAACTATGTGAAACAAAAGTAAGATGCCATAAACCCTCCCCTTTGCTTCAGAGTACAGGAGGCTCCTGTGTTACTCCATGTTCAGAAGAGGGGCAGAGCTGCATAACAGAACTGCAGATGCTCTTGCCTTCTACAACTTTTACTTCAAATGTCTCTTCTCTTTTCCCTTTAATGCTCAAGACCCCATCGCCTTCCAAAGCCACCTTTTCTCCCTAACCTTAGCACCAGGGGAAGAGCAGACACAGAGGTGTCCTCTAGGAGAAAGGTGCAGGAGGAAACTGAACCCCACCCCCACACTGCTTCCCCTCATGCACAGCTCTGATGCTGGGCCTCAGACAGCCTCTCTAAAGCCTATCCCACGGCATCACAAGGAAGCTCTCGGTCCTCACTGTGGTGGGCCTACCCACCCCGGCTGCTATGATGAAATGACTGCACAACTTTCCTTCACAAAGAGAATACTGAGTTACACTGACTGGATTTTTAAAACTAAACTACAGATGAATCTTATTTTGTGTTTCTAAATACTCATGTGAAATATGGCAGTCAAAGACAAATACTGTATGATCTCACTCCTATGTGGAATCTGAAAAAAACATACAGGAACAGCCAGCAGATTGGTGGCTGCCAGAGGTAGAGCGGGGTGGGGGGTGGGGGGGGGCAGGAAATGGGTGAGGGTGGTCAAAGGGTACAAACTCCCAGTTGTAAGATGAATATCAATTCTATATGGTATATTTCAAAGCTGTTAAAAGAACAGCTCTTAAAAGTTCTCACTATACATTAAAAAAAAACCAACAACCCTGTAACTACATAAGGGGATGGATGTTAACTAACCTTATTGTGGTGATGATTTTGCAATATATACCTACATCAAATGATTACACTGTATGCCTTAAACTTATACAATTTTATATGTCAATTATATCTTAATAAAGCTTAAAGAAAAAAAAATTAAGGAAGAAGGAGAGATGAGCTCTCTTTAAACATGAAAGGGTCTCAAGCACAAGAGCTAAAAAGTTTTAAAAGGTTAGGGGACAAGTGACCCTAGGTCACGAGGAAGAAATAATGATTGTGCAGAGAAGAATTAGCATAAATCTTCATAAAGAAATGACTAAATTATTTGTGGACTCAAAGAAAAATCAGAGACTGGCTGCACTGAAAATCTGAGAACTAGGCACACATTTCACTGTCCATTTCTGAAAACCTGAAAGGATGGCTCTTGTTTGCTGGTTTTGTCTTGGTTTCCCCACTATACTTAACATTTAAAAACAAAACTAAACTCAGTCTCAAAAGACTGGTTGAGTATTTTGCCTCAGGTACTGAAAGGGAGGGACATATTTCCCAGAGTGAATTCTCTTCCATGGTAGGCCAGGGAAATGAGAAATCTGAACTTCTCATTTCTGCAGGCAGCTGCAGGAATGGAGGCAGGATCCTGGGGCTTTTGGAAGAAAAGGAAAAAATGAAAAGTAAAGTAGCTTAAAACCAGGAAGAGGGCACTTTGCTATTTGCTTTTGTGGGAACCATCACATTCAATTTTCAATAAAAAAACATGAGATAGGTACTATTATTATCCCCATCTTACAGGTGAGGAAACAGAGGTAGAAAGGCATAGGCATGAACAAACGTGCAGGTATAAGGAGCACATGCATGTGCAAGCACACACGTATGCAGAGGGAGAGGTCACCTGCAAGACCATCAACCTCACATCCCCACAGGTACACTTGCCGGCCCACAGACTCATGCAGAGCAGCTATCTCAGGGACAGACGGACAGACCCCCACACAGAGACAAGTCCCCACAGACAGAGCAGGCACGTTTTCAACAGAGGCATGTTAACAGTGTGGACTAGGATTTAAAGTCCACTTAGTTCACAAACCCACTTTATCCCGAAGACTGACTGTACCTCTTTTACAGACTAGGAAACAACTCCAAAAAATGAAGTACCTTTTGCAATGTAACACAGCCAGTAAATGGCAGGCACAATCCTTTAGTCTTTAATTCATAACCTCTTTCTATTACCTACCAACACTACAGAAAGTAATACTAGATTAATGTTCTACTGTAATAACTAACCAGTCACTATGTATTGACTCATAATCTCAACCACTTAGCAAAGTAACTTCCTTTCTTAATGTTGTAGATATTGCAAGATGTGAAACTGGAATAAACATGAACAAAAACTTGATGAAGCAATTAACTGACTACATACTAACCTACTGATAAGTTTCTATTTTTTTGATAAGCAGTTTGTACCACCTTAAAAACTGTGCCTATTGGATACAACTTTAAATAATGAAAAATTATAAAACATCTTTAGAACTAACTGGATATGAATTGAGACAGATATATTATTAGATACATGTACTTTTAAAAGATTTATCACATAATTCCCTTGATTGCAAAGGGATAATCAGATTTTCCAGATTGTTGTCTTTTGGGTCCACAGAAAATACTGCAATTATTTTCTCCGACTATAGTATGAGAAAAAAGATTTTTAAATACCAAACACTAAAAGGATGTTAGGGCGGAAGGTATATTCTTAGTAAACTATAAGGAAACTTTAATTTTCCTTACTTAAAAAGGGAAGTCCATATCAATAATATCTAATAATTAGTATTTGATCAGGCATGAGAAACATCCCTAATCATTTCACTTACTCCTACAAGTAGTACCACAAAAAACTCTTAATAATGAGGAGGGCTGAGATAAGGAAGCAATTCATGTTTTTTCTTTATTTCCTCTGAAGAACTTAAGAATAGTAAACCCAGCTTTTACAATTTATCTTTGTAAAAATCAAGAATAGTAAAAAGAATTTAAATAACAATACCACATGTATTATTTTTGTTCTCTCTGAGAATGTCACCCACTGGGATAAAAAGGTTTGCTTACTGCTTACTATAAAAACAGTGGATTCCCCAAGCTCTGTGTTTCTGTCCTGTAATGTGATCTACTGTGTGTGTAGGCATCTGTTGAGCCCTCCCCATCACCCCATGTGACTTGGAGTTCAGGCGAACAAATGCAAACTTGATAGTCTTGAGACTTGCTGTGCTAAAGTCCACTGTCTCCAAACCAGGAGTCTCATGCCTCTGCCAGCATCCATGAAATAGTGAAAGACAAACTTTGTAGACTGTAAGCAGAAAAAAAAATCAAATCCAAGACCTGAGAGGGTGTACTTCCTCCTTTGCCTCAACTGGAGAGAGGAGTACCTTTGTTTTTTTTAACCTCACCTGAGGACATTTTTTTCATTGCTTTTATAGGGGAAGGGGTGGGGAAGTGAGGGAGGGAGGGCAGAGAGGGAGACAGACAGACAGACATTCATTGGTTGCCTTCTCGTACACACTGACCAGGGAATGAACCCACAGCCTGGGTATGTGCCCTGACCAGGAATTGAACCTGTGACCTTTTGGTTCACAGGACGACTCTCCAACTAACTGAGCCACATCGGCTGGGGTGAGAGAGGAGTTTTAATGGAACAACTTGAATGACTGATGTATGTTCCCCATAGATAAGGGGTCAGATGAATTGGTATCTGACATCCATGCCATATACTGAAAATGTTGAGCTAGGATAACAGAGATTTAATGTTGCATTAGATTCATCCTAAACTCTCAGACATTAACCAGACAAAAAATATGAGAGTTTCCCAAGAACTATTTGGGATATGTGAGTGTTAGAGTCATCGTGGAGGGCTGTCTTCGGTCCTGTGCAAGAGGGTCACCTAGAAGGCTGAACAGAGCTCAGCAGCAGGGAAGTAAATTCTGTTTCTACAATTCTGGAGGTGAAGGAGAGTAAGAGCCTCACTGACTCATAAAGACAGAACTATAGGTCAGAGATGTGTGGTAAGAAGGGATCTCCAAAGAACTTGTGAAATCACAAAAGAAAGGTTTAAGAATCTGTCAAGCCCAGGGAATGTAAAGGCATCTTACAACAGTACCAGTCAAGTAGGAACATTTCTGTCCCCTTACCTTTCCCTCTCTCCCCCTGGCACCAACTCCAGAGGGGTCGGACACAGTAGCTATGGAGTTAGGAAGGAGGTGAGCAAGAAACAGAAAAGGAGCTTCCAGGATCCCTTCACCCATGAAGTCACCCAGCTGTAGCAGGCCCTAGTTGGGAGAAGAAGAGTAGCTATGACCATGGAAGCAGTTAGAAGCTTTGACTATGTCAGGGATCGGAGAGCATGCACACTTAAAAGGATCACAGGCGTGTGAGAACGATCAGCTCCTCGTTTTGTGCCACGGACAGGAAACAAACTTCTCTCAATGAATAAGGATAGTCGGAGTTAATATAAAATCCTTTCATGATTAAGTCCTTAAAGTCTGAGTTGCTTTTCCTAATCGTAATTAAGCTCCTTAAGAAGTAGATTGTTGTCTACAGTTTCTTTTGAAATTCTAGGTGCTTTATATGACATAGAGCATAGAGTCTTGTTCTCTGGTATTATTCCATGAATGAATGCAGTACCATCAAAGGCTGATGATGTATGCTAAACAATCTTAAATTTTAATTTAGCTTTCTTCTTTTACCTCTGCTAAATGTATAGAAAGCAAGTACCATAAAAAGTGACAAGTATTAGTTAAATATCATTTACTTAGCAGACTTCTTAAACCTAGGTATGCTGTACAAATTAATTTAATTTTAAATTGTGCTATATAAACAGGGAGCCACTTATCTAACCAATGGAAAAGTACACATGTACTTTTTTTTTTAGCTTGTAAAATCTAATCAAAGGTATGGTCACCAACCCTTCAGTAAACATAATCCAAGGAAGACAAGTCATCTTTTCATACAGGAAAATGATGCCTCACTTGAACTCATTTCCTCAACACAGACACAGACCACAACCACCTCACTCTATACTGGCATCAATTACAGTTTGTGATAAATGCATTGATAATCTGCCATTTCTTTGTAGGTAATCTGCCTTTTTTCTGAATTGCAAGAAGGTTATGTGTGTGTGTGTGTTTGCCTCGATCTACAATTCCATTACAGTACACCTAAGGGTTGGAATTTTTTCATTGTCCTGTTTTTTCTCCTTGGAACTGGTGGGCTTTTTCAATATAAAGGTACACATGGCTCTTCAAATTTAGCAAATATTCACCTTTAAAAAAATTTCTCTTCCCAGATGCTGACTAGGCTTACTTTCTGGAACTCCTAACTTGGTCTATTTTCCATGTTTCTTAATTTCTCTTTCATGTTTACCACTGTTCCATTTTGTTTATATTCTAGATGATTGGCTCATCCTGACTTTGAATTCTCAGTTGAGTCTTTTGATTCACTAATTCTCTCTTCTGCTATGTCAGTTTAATCTACCAAAGAGTTTTTTTTTCTAAAAAAAAAAAAAGATTTATTTTTAGAGAGAGGGGAAAGGAGGGAAAAAGAGGGAGAGAAACATTAATGTGCGGTTGCCTTTTGCATGCCCCCTTCTGTGGACCTGGCCTGCAACCCAGGCATGTGCCCTGATTGGGAATCAAACTAGTGACCCTTTCGTTTGCAGGCCAGCACTCTATCCACTGAGCCACACCAGCCAGAGCTACCAAAGAGTTTTTTATTTCACCAACTTTTGCTAGTTACCAGGTTTGCAAATTGACCTTTTTCATTCCGCATGTTCTTATTTATTCCCATACTCACTGCAAGTTACTATTTAATTTTAAATTCTAAACATTCTTATTTTTAGGTTCTTTTGTGAGATTTTGTTCTTATCCTTATTTCCCCAGATGTAAGTGATTTTATTTTAAATATCTGCCATCTTTTATGGCAATAAAGTTCCTTACATTCCCTAAAATACTTGCTTGCAAGCTCGCCTCATGTGGGGCTTTTACCCTTTGTGAGCTCTTCCTGCCATGTTGTTTCACAGTTGCTCAGAGGAGCCCCCTGGGAAGGCACAGCTCCAGTGCAGGTATTAAATTAGGATGAGGGGGGCTGTGGACCCACATTGGTAGAGCTCTACTGCAGATGCCACCCCCCATACAACATACGATTACTATTTCCATTTTTGCATCGCTGCCTCTCTGGCCCACAGGAAAACACTGATAGTGTCACATGAAGTTATTTCAGGTCCAGATTTACTGCCTAGAAACAAAGTACCCAATTTATGCAGAGAGCCCAGTTCCAATCTGCTGCCATTTGCAAGATGAATTTAGTACTCTTAAAATATTTAAGAATCCACATGCTCTTAAATTTGGCTTTAAAATCCTTCCTTAAGCCCCAGCCAACATGACCCAGTCTGTGAGGCAGGCAGTATCAACGTCCACTCACCACCAAGGATTCCCTTTCTATTCAGGGCCTGCAGGGGTCTTCCTTGGCTTAAACGTAGCTAGAATACAGGGTCTGACAGAAGTAAGGCCTGCTTGAGTGTGGTTTGAGGGTGATAATACGGGTGTGTAATAATTCATAGTTTTTATTTGAACATTTCACCTAAAATGTCATATGGTGTGCTTGAGTGTGATATTGTTATGTTACAGAATTACATGCTTATGATTTTGTAATTGAAAAGGGGGCATTATTTGTGCCAAACCCTATATATTTACTTATGTATTTCTTTGAAATAAGTTCACATATCATTCTCACAAGCTTGAAGCAAAGTGGGCAGATTATACAGGTGATTTTACTGACATCTTAATCAGAAATCTGGATGCAAATTATCTGAGGGAGAGAGCATGTATGTGACTCAGGAAAAACACTGTTGAATTTGATGCTATGAAAAGGAAGCAGGTCAAGCTATTTTTTAAAAACACTCAAGTAGTATTTAACTTTATAAAGTACTGATATTCAACAATGGATTTACTTTTCATCATTTTGTCAAATGCCAATTCTTATTTTTACTTTTAGTCTTCGCCCATATACTCCTATCCTTTTTCTAGCCACTGTTATACACATCATGTGTATAATAATACCTTCATGACACATCATGGAAAACTCACCAGTCTTTTATACCTATTTATTGTTTTTCATCTTTACTGAGGTGTAATTTACATTCTCTTAACTTCATCCATAGTAAGGGTAAAATTCAGTAAGTTTTAACCACTTTTCAGAGTTGGACAACAATAATCACAAAGCAGTTTTAGGACTATTTCATCACCCTCAAATTTGCTTTGTAGCCAATCTCCACTCCCCCAGCTCCATGCCCAGCCACATGCAACCACTAATGGGCTTCTTTTTTCTCTATAAATTTGCCTTTTCTGGCACTTCAATATAAATGGAACCATATCATATGTAGTCTTAACTATCTGGCTTTGTTTGCTTAGCAGGGATTGGAAAACTACAATCCTCAGGCCTAATCCAGCTTGCCTCTTGTTTTACAAATAAAATTTATTGGAACATAACTACACCCACTCCATATTGTCTATGGCTGCTTTCACACTACAACAGCAGGGCTGAGTAGTTGCAACAAAGATAATATGGCCCACAAACTCCAAAATATTTATTATCTGGCCTTTTATAGAAAAAAAGTGCTGACCCTTAACTTAGTAAAATCTTTCTGAGCTTTTTTATTCACACTGTAGCGTGTATGAGTATTCAGTATACTGTTTGTTTCTATTGCTGAAGAGTATGCTATTGCATGAATACACCACACTTTATCTATCCATTTACCACCTGATTGATATTTTCCAGTTTTTAGTCATTCTGAACAACTCTGCTATAAACAATAATGTACATATCTCAATGTAGACATGTGTTTTCACTTTTGTTATACAAATTCCTAAGAATGGAACTGCTGGGTTACATGCTAAGTTAATGACTTCACTTTTAAAGAAACTGGCTGTTTTTCCAAAGTGGCTGTACCACTTTATATTCCAAACAATGTTTGAGGGTTCCAGATTCTCTCCATTCATGCCAACACTCGACACTGACTTTTAAATTAAAATCATTGTACTAGGTGTGTAGCTGTATTTCATGGTTTGAAATTTTGTTTGTCTAATGACTAATGATGCTGAACATCTTTTGGTAACCATAAATTTTTGGTGAAATACTTCTGTTCAAGTGTCTTCCCCATTTTTAAGTGGGTTGTCTTAGCATTGATTTGTATGAGTTCCTTACATATTCTGTAAATAAGCCCTGTATCAGATATATGGTTTGCTGATATTTTTTCCAGTCTGGGGCTTGTCTTTGCATTCTCTTAGTCATATTTTTGATGTGTAATTATTCCTTTTAATAAAATTCAATGAAGAACTTTTTCTTTTATTGCCTCGCTCTTGGTGTTGTATCTAAGAATGCCCCACCTAATCCAAGGTCTTCTAGAAGCTTTATAATTTTAGAGCTTATATTTGGGACTATGATCCACTGTGAGCTAATTACGCTCTGAAGTGGGAGGCAAGGACTGAAGTTTCTCCCTTACGCAGGGACATGCAGTCATTCCAGCCGCACTGGTCAGAAACACTTTTTCAAGTAAATTGTGTTGGCAACTTTGTTGAAAACCAGCTGACCACACATATGAGTTTAATCCTGAATTTACAATTTTGATCCATTTATCTATATGTGTTCCTTTATGTTATTACTTTGCCAACTTCATTAATGTATATTTATAAGAAGTATTGAAATTGCATAATGTAAGTCCTCCAATTTTTTCCTTGCTTTCAAAATTATTTTGGCCATTCTAGGTCCTTTGCATTTCCACATAAGGTTTAGGATTACCTTGTTAATTTCTGCCAAAAACAAAACGTCTGGGATTTTAATAGCAATTACCGTGAATCATTTTGGGAGAATTACCATATTAATATTAACACTGAGTGTTACAATCCATGAACAAAGTAAGTCTTTCCATTTATTTAAATCTAATTTGTCCAGAAATGTTTTGTGTTCAGTGTACAAGCTTTGCACTGTTTCATTAAATTTACTCCTAAATCTTTTAATCATTTTTGATGTAACTATTATACTCTATTCCCTTACCTTCTGTGTTGTTCATGTCTAGTATCTAGGCAGACAACTGATTCTGCGTGTTGATCTTGTGTCCTGTACTCTTGCCTGAACTTGTTTATTAGTTCGTGTAACATATTTGTACACTCCCCAGGACTTTCTACAAATAGCATCACGTTACCTGTGAATAAAGGCAGTTCTACCACTCCCTTTACAATCTGGGTATTTGATTTACTTTTCTTGCCCAATTCCA